CTGGCGAATGGTCGCAACTTTTCAATTTCTCTCCTTCATCATTCGCTTCCATCATAGGAGGTGACTTCAACTGTCACTCGGAACTATGGGGCAGCGAAAAGTCAGACTTCTCAGGCTCTGAATTAACAGACGCCCTATCTAACTCAAATTTCACACTCCTAAATGACGGCTCCCCCACCAGGATCTCCCCATCAAAAGCTCCCTCTTGTGTAGACCTAACCTTAATATCCACCAATCTGGCCATGAACTCCAACTGGAAAATCCTCTCGGATCACATGGGGAGCGACCACTTTCCTATTTCCACCTCTATTAACGTCCCCCCTGAAAAATACAAACTTTTTTCCTATAAGATCAACCTGACCAAGATAGATTGGACAAAATTCGACAAGTTCTTAAACTCTTAAATCAGAAGAAATAGAGAACCTCCCGGACAATATGACTGCCACAAACATCTACGATTCAATTGTCGGTTTCATCATGGAAGCAGTAGGAGCATCCCTCCCGGAAAAAAAACGCACACCCCATCCCCAAAATGAAAAGAATAATAAAAACCGAAAAGCAAAGAAGTCCACCCCTCCAGCCCCCTGGTGGAATGAGAAATGTTCGCATGCTGTCGCCCTCCGAAGAAAAGCTACCTCACTTTTTAGAAACCGACTCACCTTAGAAACCTATAAAGCCATGCAAAAGCAAACTTCCGACACCAAAATGATTCTAAAAAAAGAAAAAGCAAAGGGGTGGGCCTCTTACTGTCGATCCCTTGACAGATCCACCCCAATCAATATTCTCTGGAACAAAATCAAATGGTTCAAAAACAGAAATAACTACAATCCCTCCCACATTCCCAAACAAGATGCTGAATCATCCCAAAGAATGAAAGAATTTATCGAAGACTTTTGCCCCAACCTTCCCCATAATTATATTCCTCCCCCCCCTCCTGTGATTCCCTTCGAAGCTTTTTTCTTAGAAAAAGAATTCTCTGCCCGAGAATTCAAATCAGCGCTCAATGCGACCAAAAAAACCTCCTCTCCAGGTCTTGACAAAATTCATTATAACATAATCTCGAGACTCCCTCAAGAATTTAAAAACTTCTTGCTAAAGACCTTTAACGACCTCCTCAATTTCGGTCAATTCCCAGATTGATGGAAAAAATTCCTAATCTTCCTGCTGCCCAAATCTTCCCCAAATAAATTCCGCCCTATTGCCCTCGCTTCGTGTCTCTTAAAACTTTTTGAAAAAATAATCTCGAGGTGGATTAATCTGGTGACTAGAAACTCAACACATTCTTCACAGTAAACAATTCGGCTTCAGAAAAATGCGCTCTTGCGCCGATAATCTAGCGATCCTCTCAACCGAGATTTTCACAAGCTTTGCCTCCAACCAATACACAGCCGCCGTCTTCATTGACATAAAAGGAGCTTTCGATTATGTGGACCCCTTAACCCTATACTATGACCTAGCTCATCTTGGACTGCCAAAAAAAATCGCAGACTTCATTTACTTCCTCCTAGCATACCGTCAATCTTACTTCGTAATCAACGGAGAATTAGAAGGTCCCTTTCCCATTGATAAAGGTACCGGACAAGGTTCCGTTCTCAGTCCTATCTTATTCAACCTTTATATCTCTAACTTACCATCCTTCGATGATCTCAAGGCAGAATGCGTATCATTTGCCGATGACCTAGTCATCTTCTCCCGCAGTTCCGATCTAGAAACCTACCTACTTGCAGTCGAGCAAGCCACGAACAGGGTGGCTAACTTTTTAAAAAACAAAAATCTCGAAATTTCGCCCGAAAAATCTCACCTCATAATATTCTCAAAAAACACATTATCCCCTCTGACCACTCCATCTCTATCAACAACTCCATCATTCAGGCCGAAGTATCCACAAGATTCTTAGGAATGACCCTAAACTATCGACTCTCCTTCTCACCTCACATCAACAACGTCAAAAATAAAGGTCTGAAAATTATCTCCTTCATCAAATCACTCAGGAAAACACACTATGGCGCCGACCATAGAAACCTCATTATCTTCTACAGAGGCCTTTTAAGGAGTTCCGTTGAATATGGGAGTCATATACTAAATTTCTCCAACTACTCTTACTTTGAAAAAATAATTAATCTTCAACATAGTGCCTTAAGACTCGCCCTTGGACTTCGAACCTCCACCCCCAAAAATGTCATTCTCGCAGAATCAACCGAACCCCCCCTTAAATTCCGTATTTCCCAACTCTCAGATAGATATATCATGAAATCCCTATCTCTCTCCAATCACCCGTTACTTGACAAATAAACCACCCTCCAAACAATAATAAACAGGAAGACATCCAATCTTCACAATATTAAATCGGGATTCCCAATCCTAAACTCCTTTGACAGACTCCTACACCATAAATCTAAAATACATCGACACCCTCTCCCCTCCCCTTATCAATTCCCTTTCAGCCTCATCAATTCCTCCCCTTCCATCAACACATCTTTGGGAGCGCTCATCAAAAAAAGCAAGAATAAAGATTCAACCCTTCAAATGGAATTAACTAAGCTAGATCAAGACTCCTATACCCAAATATACACCGATGGATCCAAAATCCAAGAAGGAGCCTATGTCGGTTATGCAGTCTCCATCCCCTCTCTCCAAATCTCAATTCAACATAAAATCTCTTCCTATGCCTCCATTTTTACCGCCGAAGCTCTAGCTATATTAACCGCACTCCAAACAATTCAATTAATGGATCTTAAAAAATCTATAATTCTCACCGACTTCCTGAGTGTTCTAAAAGCAATGGAAAACTTTTCCCCACTAGAAACTTCCTCTCACATAATTTATCAAATCATAGAACTTAATGAATTGCTCACATTGAATAACTTAGAAACTTCATTTGTATGGATTCCCGCACACGTTGGCATCCAGGGAAATGAAGTTGTAGACTCTAGCAAAGGAAGCCGTCTCGAGTGGCGACATTCGACCCACCTCCATTCCGTTCACCGATTTTAAAGCTTCCATCACAGCTCAAATGAAATCCAAGACAGTTAATTTACTCAGAAAACAAGTAAAATTTAAAGGTAAAAAATATTTCCAAGAATTTTACAAAGGCTGGAATCCTCCGTGGTTCCAAAACCTCAACATCGACAGACCCCAAATAACTACCATCAACAGGATGAAGTCAAATCATTACAATCTTGCTGAAAGTCTAAAGAGAAAAAACATCGTCGCCTCCAATCTATGCGAATGTGGCAAAGTCGAATCCCTATCCCACGTACTTTGGGCTTGCCCCAATTACTTCCAAGAACGTTCGACCCTACTCAAATCCCTGAAGAAATTAGACATCAACTCCTACAACATCAACAAATTAATCGCATCACCCACCCCCAAAATAGCCTACTTAATCCACAACTTCCTCAAAAAAATCAACAAACCCATTTAAACATCATCACCGCACCGCCAAACTCGGTGGATCAAGAGATTATCTACATCACCCACCCCACACAAAACTACGAAATGGCCCGCTAGAGGGATAACGGCCGCAAGACTTGATATAGTCAGTGCCATAAAAATAGAAGAAGAAGAAGTATCCTATGTGGATTGTATTTCTTGGAGAGATGAATTGATTTCCTTATAGGAATAGTCGAACAAAATGTTTACAAAGAATTCTTTTTGAAAACATCTGTTTTTGTTTTTTTTTGTTTTTAACAATATTAGGGATACACTGGGTGGCATGAACTCTTCTGACTTCTTGTTTCAATATTTATAACCAAGGAACAAATTTATCGATTGAGCTCAGTCTAAGCTTATTATAAAGGGGCTGACTGTACTTTTAATTTAAAAAAAAATCTATTTCATCAACACTTCAATAAGACATCATCATTTTGAAAAAGGTTCAAAGTGTTCATTTAATCCCACCGTCTCCTACTAATTTTTCCTAAATAATCACAAAATGGTTCGCATTTCACTGTCACTTAATTTAGAGAATTTTTTTCCACAGAATGAAAACATTTTCTGTTACACTCGGAGAAAAATAAATATTTTCTTTTCGAATTTAACTACTCACGGATATTTAATACTTGATCACACAATATTTTTGACACATCTTCGCATATGAATATAGATATAGCGGGATGAAATTCGAATTTTCGACGAGAGAAAACAAAGTAGAACAGCGAGTTGATTTTCCGTTTCATTCTAATAGGTGATTTAACGTAAAGAACATTTCCCGTCGTTCTCCATAACAACATCACAACCCACATTCAAATGCACAATGTGAATATCAATCCTTTGCTCTGTGCGTACCTTTTTTACTGTTAATCCAAAAAATACCATAGTTACACCGTTGAAAAGCTCATAGGCGATTTATATAATGTAACTAACGACACTTTTCCGATTCGTCGTCCCATTTTCATTATACCGAATGTAAATCATTTAGAGGTAGTGCGGGGGAAGTTTTCTCGTGTATAGATACGCGGTGCGCTCGGCCTGATATTTTGCTCAGTTGGTCAAAATTTTTCTTGGCCGATACGCTACCACGTATTTCGATTATTTCAATTTTGATGATTGTAAGTGGTAAAGTAATATATAACAGTTTTCAACTGAGCGATTTCATGAAAATATTCACGGCATTCACAAATTATTTATAGGTTATGTGTGTCAAAATGGATAAAATGCCCACTAAAAAATAGAAAAATCGTCAGTCGAGTCGGGTGAAACAAATGTATCGAAAAAATTCAATTTCAGTTCTTATGCTCCTATTAATGTTCAAAAGGCACCGAGCGTACGGACCTGCTACCGCCATTGCCACTACCGCCGCCTCACGCAGGTCGTAGGAGTGGGGACGCCTCGTCCGTGGCAATGGGTTAATGAAGAATCTTACGGTTTATGAAGCATTTTGCAATATGCAGCATATGTCATCTATCCATCTAGTGACAAAACTTAAACCTAGATAGCCCCATCTGTTTACCCCTAGCAACGCGGTAGTTCGAAGGCAATTAATTCCCCTTATTTTTTAGGCCTTTTCTGCCTCTAAACGGAGTTGATGATGAAGGGAGAATTGTAGTTCTCCTCCGAGTGTGCATCCACGACCCTGCCAAGCATTCCATAGCAAATTTCTTAAAGGTAAAACAAAATTGAAATATTCTTGAAAAATTAATGAGGCAGTTCAAATGCATTCCTTTTCCGCTCTTATTTTGTGAATGTCGTGATAGTTTCTAATGTTTCTAATGTTAATAATGATAAATATATGAACGGATTATTTTTTGCAAAATATTATGAATAGAGCTTATGTTTCCGATTCTTGCACAATTGTAACTTGTTGACTTGAATATTTTGGCAGGAGTCGTCAACGAAATGTATTTTATGACTATCGAGACATAAAACGATTTATGGATTATGCACGAAGTTGATTAGCCATTAACGAATGATAGAGTTGAAAATAGAAATTGAATCCTTATGATTAAAAGAGCAAGGCTTTTGTCTCTTGTTTTCGATTTTCAGCTATCGAGAAAAAGTGAATCGATTTTTTGCATATGAATCGGTCTCTCTAATGATTAAAAAAAAGAGCAAGGCTTTTTTATCATTTGCTTTCGATTTTCAGCTATCGAGACGAGAAAAAAGGGAATCGATTTGTTTCTTTGATGGTTATGATAATCGATTGCGCATTTTGATTGCATACGTATTAATCGATTGTGATGTGATCACATAATTTTCCTTTTCACAAAAAAATCGAGACATCAGGTGAGAAAACAAACAGGACGCAGTGAGCATGTGATCGTGAGCATGTCACTGAGTGATGTTTCAATGCTTTCTTCGCCATCAATAAATTGATGGTATGTTTCCGAATGGTTTCAGCATAATAAATTTCTTTCTCTCGGATATTTCTCCCCATTTTTGCTACTTGCGTCTTTCTCGCCCCCCATCGAAACTCTTTCCAACCTCCTGTATTGCATTTGCTAAAGGTTGGAGGATACCCTAAGTTAGGGGAAAACCTGACCAGATAAAGTCGTCCCTTCCGTTACTCATTATTGCGAATATTTTTTCCAACGTCAAACTGGTATGCATACACGCATGAAAAAATTCAATAGAAAACCTAGCGAATTCGCTAGAAAATTCTATAGGAATTTTATGGGATTTCTATAGGATTTCTATTGGAATTCTATTGAAAAATTCTATTTGTTTTTTGCGCTGATTCTATTGGATATTCAATAACAAAAAGTTAATAGATTTCAAATTTCTATTTAAATTTTTCTGTCAGATTTTTTCCATCAGAATTATTGGGCACAAATTTTGTAAGTTTTTTCCACTGGATTTTGTTTTGTTTTGCATTGCAGAATCCGAGTGGAAAAAACTTAGAAAATTGATGCCCAAGCATTCTTATAGAAAAAATCTCAAAAGAAAAATTCAAACAGAAATTCGAAATCTATTGACTTTCTTTATTCAGTATCCAATAGCATCAGCGCAAAAAACAAATAGAATTGTTCAATAGAATTCCAATAGAAATTCTATAGAAACCCCATAGTATTCCTATAGAATTCTAATAAAATTTTCTAGCGAATTCGCAGGTTTTCTATTGGATTTTTTCATTCGTGAGAAAGCATTGGAACATCACTCAGTGACATGTTCACCATTATATGCTCACTGACATATTATATGCTCGCTGCCCCCTGTTTGTTTTGATGATTTGAAAGTGTAACATTCATTTGGAATAAAAGAACGTGAGTGGGATTTACGCTTGTTTAATCGAAAATGATTGGATATACGTTGCTCTGTTCAAAAAAAAATTGAAAATAATTATTTCGATGAGATTTTTAATACCGAGCACAAATAGCGCATTTTTTGGAGATACATCATTTACCTCTGGCAATGGCCGTTTTTGGTAGTTATGGGACTGTTATTAAGCTGTCGATATGTTAATTCATAATTAAATAATTTTGGAACGGTTTGTGGGAGATACGTTTATTTGTTACACCTACAGGTCATAACAACGTATCTCACAAGTGCGTACATTTTCCATTTTTTTGATGATTTGAAAGTTTAACATCTATTTGGAACAAACGAACGTGAATGGGACTTACGGTTGTTTGAACGAAAATGATTGAAGATATGTTGCTCTGATAAAAAAAAAATGAAAATGATTATTTCGATGATTTTTCCAATACTGAGCATAAATAGCGCATTTTTTGGAAATACGTCACTTTACTTCTGGAAATGATGGTTTTTTGTAGTTACATGACTCTGTTACTAAGCTGTCGATATGGACAGAAAACAATAACTCTTTGATTTTCATCTCGAGTAATGAATGATTATTCAATTATTGAAAAACATGAACTCAGAAACAAAATCAATGATTTAACGGAATTTCTTATTCATGTAGTCTTGATACGAAGAGAGCTCTTCAGGGCTTTGAGCTCGAAGATTTTTGCCTTGTGCATAAAATGCACGATCCAGTCAATAGCGCCACGATTCACTTAACTTTAACCGAGGTCTAACCGTGGTTTCCTAATCCAAAAACTGGCCCTCAGCACTAAAGCGCCAATTGTTCGTGAACGCGCGCAACCGCGCGCGTTATAGATCTGAGAATATTATTATAGGAGTGTGAGAATATTATGGGAGAGAAGAAATATCGATGTGTATTTTAATGAATAAAGAGGAGAAAATTGTGTTAAAATTAAGAATTGAAGTGTGTTAAAATTAAGAGGTTTTTATTATTAATACTGCAGTGCCATTTCGTTTTCTTCCTGGTGGATTATTATTAATAACTGCAGTGAATAACTGCAGTGACATTTCGTTGTCTTCCTGGTGGAAATGATGTAAGTAGATTTCTTTCAATATAAATCCTTCGACGTAATAAAAAAGTATAGTAAGAAAAGAAATAATCTTAAAGTTATCGAGTTTTGTACGTGTTTACATACATTCGTTAGCTTCTTTTTCAGTTGGAAAAAAAAGTCGATAGTCGTGAACTACGTAAAGAGAAGAGAAAAGAAAGGGGAAACAATAACTCGTGAATCGTAGAGTAGAATTGCTTCCTTTATTAAAAGTTCAAATATTTCTCCAATTCTCCAGCATCAAAACGAGATTTGATTCATTTATATCGTATCACTTGGTTAGACGATATATTTGACAATTAAACATGATTTGCTTGATTTCATTTTCTACAGCTTTTTTTTTCCTATGAGAAAGAGAAGGACAGAGATGAAAATTAGCTGCAATTGATGTTGTTAAAGATCAATTGTTCTTAAATATTGGAAAAATATTTTTCCATTGAATAAAACATATTCTCATGTGATTTTTATTCTTCTCCTTTTTTCAGACCTGGTTTGAAGCAAATACGTGACGGAGGTTTCGAGTTTATCTTGTTATCAACACACCGGAGAGTTTTCCTTTGCTGGCGGAATAATCAATTTGTATCGATGAATGTGGTGATTTATTGAAGAAATTGATGATATTGATGGGATAATTATGATGATGATGTTGATGTTGATGATGTTGATGATAATAATAATGATGATGGTGATGATTTGTCGATGAGGAAGATAACTTTGATTTTTTTATTTTATGAATTGTTTATGATTTGATGATATACTAATTGATAAAATGAATGATAAATTGGAAATGATGGAAATATTGTGATGTATGCCCATGAAAGTTTTATATGAGTGAGATCAAGTTACAGAGATTTTAATTGGTTTTGAATGTACGAGAATTTGAATTGAATTTGAATTTGTACGAGACAAATCTACTGAATCGAGACAAATCTACTCAATCGAGTTACTTGAGAGTGCAGCTGACTTCCGATGATAGCATGAAATTTCCAGATTTGAAAATTTGAATGCATCATATGACCTTTCATATGATAGTCATGTCATCCTCTTCTTGCGGTTCGGATTTTTTTTTCTGAATTTTAATTCTTTTTAAATTTTTCTATTTTATGGTAAACGAAAATAGCTTCTTAATGTTTTTCCATGGTATTTGTAATCAGACCGATTCTCAGCGCTAAAGCGCTGATTGTTCGTAAACGCGCGCAACCGCGCGCGTTATGGACCTAGTATTTCTTAAGGCCCGGTTAGACGGATTTTTGTCCGACATGTCCCTAGAAAATTCCCCAGAAAATTGTCGAAAAAAAGCATTTTAGATGCAATGTTATTATTACTGTATCGGTTGACCAAAAAATCTGATTTTTGTTTAAAAAATCTGATAATTTATTCCGCTTGAGTGGTAATTAGTTCTGGAGGGGGGAAAATGAGTTCATATGATTTTAATATTATTTAGAAAATAACCCAAAAAAAAACACCTCCATCCCCCCCTAGCCAAGTCACACTAGCGTGACACCCTGTCAATATGGCGAAGGTAATTATCAAAAATAAAAACACAAATTCCAATTTTCACAGACACTGCACACTCCCGAGACCCAATTACCAGTCCGTGAACTATTTTTTACTATTTTCCGCGAGTTATTCCGAAGCAATTAGACGCCGCTAATTCCCATAAGACTTGTAAAAAAATTAGGCGATCAGCTGTTGCCATACTGTTTTCCTCAGTTACACGGGAATGTGCCAGATGACGCCTCCGAAAACCCCCGAATGTTGAAACACCGATCCAAAGAGGATTGACTAAAGTAGAGGCTCAGATCTCGGGGTTGGACTGACCCCAAGCCAAAAGTAGTTCGACCCCAATGGAGGGATGCCGCCACGGTCGAATCTGACGGCTGGGCGAACTGCCTGTGCGGGTAACTCGGCAGCAGTGTTGCCAGATATACCATGATCATGGTATTTGTACCATGATTTGAGTCATTTTACCATGTACCATGAGAGGGTGTCATGGTATGCAAAATATACCATGATTTCGAAGAAAGATATTTTTTTTTCATTTTTTCGTCTGATTGTCCCGAAAACTTCTCAGCTTTGAGTGTTTATCTAGTAGCGCACGACTCACTCATCTCGTTCATTCCTCAAGACGTTTTTGAATGCCGATAATTCCCGCCTTGATCGAAACAAGCACAGACTATGTCCAATACAACGGATACTGAACCCTGATTTAAAGGAGATCGATAAAGTAGGCCAGCATATGCGACCATCATTTGTTATGGTAGATCTCTGTGATTATAAATTTTTACCAATGACATACGTTGAACGAAA